ACCTGGAGGACGACGTCTTTCCGGAGCACGTGCTGTGCGACGGCCGGGACCCGTTTTACGACCGGCCCCCCCTGTTCAGTTTAGTAGGAAGGTTGGTGAGGTCGAGGACGGCATGCTGGGAAGGAACCAGCTCTTTTGCACAGGAGCACTGCTGCGGGCACGATTTGACCGCCGTCAGGGCGTGACCCCGGCGTGTGGGGCAGCTCCCTGGACCCACGGGCTGAGGCAGGCAGAGGGCCCGAGGGAGCGCGAGGGCTCCTGGCCTCCCCGGGGGTGCCCCGCAGGGGAGAGGCGGGTCCCAGCGATGCAGGAAGCAGGGTGCCCTGGGGCCTGGCTCCATGCAGGTGGGACTGTTTTTGCAGAGAGGCCTCTGGGACCTGGGGAAGTGTCCCTGTGCAGGGCCCTCGGGGCACATTTGGAAGAATGGGGGTGTGCATCTTTACACCCACCGCCAGCTGAGGCAGCCTGACCTCCCTCTGCTGTTTTCCAAAAGAGGTGAAAGCTCCTGGCTACTCTCAGTGCTGCCCCCTCCCTCTGGGCAAAGGAGCGGGAGCTGGAGGAGGCCGTCTGGGAGGGCAGAGAAGGCAGGGCCCCCCTCTGAACCCCTGGGGCCCAAGTGGACCTGCCTTGCTCTGAGCTGATCCCTGTCTAAAGGTGAGGACGGTCCGTCCCTCCTGACCGCCAGGCCATCAAAGCTGGTTGGGCACACGAGGCCCTCTGCTCTCAAGGGAAGTGCACTTTGCAGAGAGGAGCCAGCCATTAAGTGTCCTGGACAGATGAGAAAGGCCAAGGTCAGGAGTGGGGCCGGGGCCTTGGGGAAGCCCAGACCCAGGGGCAGGCAGACGCGGCAGGTACCACTCCCCTCCACATGTGTTATTCCATGAAGTGGAAGCAAGACAGGTGAAGGAAAGATCTAGAAGCCTAGCTCATGGAACAACCAAATCCACACGTTTTCCTTATCCATGGGGGTGTAAGATAGTTTTATCAGCAGCCTTTTTTGGAGTTTGAGGTTGCTTCCTTGGGCTAGGCCAGTGGAAGTTTCTGGAAGTCTGGGCCTTGGAGCACCAGCACTGCGAGCTGAAGACCAAGGCGGGTCCCCAGTAACGGGGTTGCACTGGGAGCCCTTGGGTGCAGGTGAAGGCGTGAAAGCTCCCCGATTCCCCTTGGAGGGAAGCAGGCTCTCTCGGGCGCACCACGGATTTGTTTTGATTAGTCTTCTCTGAGTGTATGGCGGGATAAAG